TAAGAAATAGCTGATGTTCAACTATTCAGTAATTGAATACTTGAATAGTTGAATTCAAGTTTGACATATATAAACGGCTGAATTACATCTATTCTATGGATGTCTGAACGCGTTACAAATCAATGTATACGTTCGAGTGCGATTCTTGATTAAGATGCATCCAGACAGGCTCATATTATTGATGAAATGCGTTTCAATGCGAATAATTTCGTTTTTGCACTCGAATGCGTTTATTCTATTCTCTTGCAGGCGTGGGTATAGGAGTGGGTATGAGTATTCTTGAAAAGACCTACACCCGTATTCATACACACAACAGCATCCACATCCCACACCCACACCACACACACATCCACACACACCCTTCTTACGAGTTCAAGTTTTCGGAACAATATAGTACGAAAATCTAATGCGTTACAAAGGCATTTACATGTGTACTTTTTACGCCTTTATTTTTATTAAAATTTCAATACATCTTTATGCGCTCTTATCCTTGTTCGTCTGACTGGGACGAAATATGAAAATACATAGAATAATTTAATTTATAATTTAGTAAGTTGTAAGTTAAGTAGAAATAATTTATATATATTTCCAATACAAACCATTGATAATTTAATTACGCACAAATTAAATTGAAAGTAAATATAATTTGACACCCCTAATGTGAAGAAATTCTTCGATTATTCCACATGACACAACATGTCAACGTCCAACTTTAATAGGTTACATGAGGATATCGGTATGAACTATCTTGTTGTAAAGTTATGTAATGTGAAGGAAGAAAAAAATGTGTATAGGTGAGAACATGGTGAAAGACGCGAACACGCATAATGATAAATGTATGAATACAAGAAAAATTGCCTACCTTATCAAGATTTCACACGCCATTGATGCATGCAAGGAGACACATGTTGAAAAAAAACAAGTAATTTTGTTATTGATAAGTACGTAGCACAGTCAGTTGCAAACACGGATAAAATAATATTCAAACGTTTCAATATCATTGGACATGTAAGTATGCTTGAGTCCTAATTTACCTACAAGACGTTCTACGAGATAGTGAAGCAGTTTTCAACACCGCTATATTGTTTAAATAAATCATTCGTCTCATTGATTAGTACATTGAAAATTTTAAATAAATTCTGTTTTCTAGAAAACCGAGTTAGAAAAAAGCTCAAAGATATTCAAATTATTATTAATCCTCAAACGATTTTATAATATCCGAGAGAACAGAAGTTTTGTTTTCATTGCTGCTATTCGCTTGTTATCTTTTAATCTTCGTATTTTATTTTTCTGAATTTATCATCCTTATTATTATAAGCATTGGACTGAATGGCAAATAAAGTTGTTGAAAACATCCATTATTTCATTCTAGTTATTAAGTTCCGTAGTAGGTAGAGGTGAAGAAAAGGCAGCTACGAAAAGTCTAATTTTTGTAAAAATTAGACCTTCGCTAGGAATTCTACATGTTTAATTAAGTGTATAAAAGCTGTTTTCCAATAGTTCTAATATTAGTTCTTGTATGCGATAAAATAAACTTATTTTTAGATCAACAAGACAATGGATCACAGATTTAATTATAAACAGTTGTGTTTTTTGCTTCTTTGTTCCGACTAAATGATGCTTAAAAGAATCTAAATAAAAAATGAAATAAAATAATTTTTAATAAGTAAATAAATACTTTCTTTTCCGGTTTTCAAATTGCACTAAATACAAGAATAAATAATAATAAAAAAATAATATTTTGCATGAATACTTACTTTTCTTTTGGCACTAAGATCGTCATAAATAAAACAATGATATAGTAATAATAATTCATATAATAAACACTTACTGCTTATTGCAATGTTCATAATCATCTAAATTAAAAAGAACGTTATCAAATATATACATATATGTATAGAGAGAGAGGGATAGTTTCACCGCCGGTATACCAGCGTTAGCTCAAGTAAATATACGACATGGGTGATTTTACGTGAAGTAGCATTGAAAATACTATGTGTGCGCAGAAAAAGACATTACTCCATGTACAGGATTTTGACATATAAAGCATTGATTAAGCGAATTTTCTATAGAATCTAATCAAGTAAAACTTTATTCGCAAACATTTCTAATCACATCATTATATAGAGCTCTGAATTCTAAATAAAATTAGATACATTGTAAATCGTTCAACCTACAAATGGCTGGACTATAGGCTTTACAAGATTTCCATATATTAAATTCTCCATATCAGTTTCTAATAGGGCGTTTATAGTGACTTTTAGTATTATCACTGTCAAATTGCAACAGTAGATCCGACTATGTTATTAATATTTTATCTTCAGAGAATGTTGGGACTTTAATGGAAAGACTATAGAAAATACTCAGCTAGTAGCTTTCATCAAAAGTCACTAGATGGTTAAGTCGTTACTGTTAGGAAATCTTGCTTCTTGTCGCATGATCACTAAGTAAAGGCTTAAGTTATATTTAGATTCTGTCTACACAACATTGAGCTACACTCAAAAATATGGCTGCTGATTCAATAAAAAATGCTATTCGAAAGTTAGAAGAAGCTTTTGTTCCGGATGTCGATTTCTTGTTGGATGATAATATTGGCCATGCATTCGAGACTCTCTGCAATTGCCTGAAAGAAATCATTAGTACGCCTGAATCCTACTCTAGCGATCAGAAGCATCAACTGGTTGCGCAACTGAAACAGTTTCAAATTAATATGTTTCGTGAGCTGCTTCTGTGGTTTTCACCGTCTATTCCAGCATCAGTCCTGAGTAATCTTTTCAACACCATTCTTTATCAAATCCAGATCGAAATGGTAATAAATGAAAGCATTAATGATATCTACTTTGATGCATCACTCAACTGTTTAATCACCGATGTCACTATCGATTATTTATTTGAAGTTCGACAAAGTACTCTTATTGATGAATACTTTCTTCGTATGCTTTGCACTATTGGTTCTTGGGCAATGTGGAACAGATTAAAAAGATCTCATTCAACCAGCGTCAAATGGAAAAATCAACCGACATTTTTTCAATTGAATAATGAAACTGATCGTCTTCTACGAGGAATTCTCACCTATATAAATCGTCATTTTCGGGAGAATCCAATGAGTAATGTTCAGGTTGCGGTTTTTACCTGGGCTCAAAGTATCATGGATGTCATTCCATTTGTGCCATTCTTTGTCAAAACCGGCTATCCAGAAGCAACTCTAGAATGGTTATCCATTGAACCAAATGAGACGATGATCAGCCTTAGATCATGGCGTGAAAGTCTTGATTTTGTTCACAATCTTGCTCGTCACGAATCGGGCGTAAAAGCATTGAATCAATTGGGAGCTATTTCGATTCTCAAAGCATGGAAAGGACGGTACCTTTCCGAATCAACATTATCGAATGACGAAAATTATGAAGATTTACGCGTAGTCTATTATATGAGCTATGCCTTATTACTTGAACCGGCATTACTGAAACGAGAGAACTCAATGGACCTTCAAGTCGCTCTCGATCATATTCTTGATCGAGCAGTTCAAGCATTTCAGTCGACTTCTCTCCATTATGGCCCATATCATGTATCTGAATTTTGGACAGCACTAGCGAGATTTACAGTTAATGACGAGTGCCTCCTATACATGTTGATACGCGAAGATATGTTCGAATTTTCCATGCAGAAGTTTCTCGAATACAATAAACTATTACTGCTTGATGTCAATTCCGAATCATCTGATTTGGATACCCTAATGTGTTCGCTATTGTATACAATTTTCTGGTCAATTAGTTTTCAAACGAATTATCATGTAAAATTGAAAACGAACACGGAATTTGTTGGATTCATACAGCAAACTGCTAAGAAGAATTCAAATGATGGATATGTCGGGAGTATAAGACAATCTGCCAATGGAATTCTGTTTAATCTTGATTTAATTCAACAATCTCACCTACCTAGTAAACCAGACATCGATGATCATATTGATGGTGTGAAAGTCATGATATCGTATTCACATAAAGATAGTGCATTTTGTCGACGACTAGTCAACACTCTGAAAGATCAAGTACAAGGAGATTTGTGGGTGGATTTCATCAAACTAGAGCCACCGTACGAAGACGATTGGGAAGAAATTGCCGAAGCGATTAGCAATTGTGACGTAGTAGCGATGATTGTTACCGCAGATTATTGCAGCTCGAAAAGTTGTCGTCGAGAGGTGATTCATTCTGATAAACGCAATAAACCAATGATACCTATTTATCAGGGTTCAGAGTACGAACCAGATGATTGGTTTGAAATTCGAGCTGGTTCAGCAACTTGGGTACGTTTCGGTTCTATGAATAGCGATGAAGAAGTAATGCAAACTCTTGTGAAACTAATTAATTCTCACAAAAAAACAAAAAATCGTTCTGATGTAGCTATAGTCTCTCAAAAGCCATATCTTGAAAATAATCACACGGTTCCACCGATTATGATTTTGACTCAAACTAGTGACATCCTCTCGTCGCCATTGCCAGATCCTGTTCCACTACTCCCTCTTCCCACCTCAAATCTCACGACTTCGTCACTAGTAACAACTCCTAGAAAACCAATTGAACAATGGACTAGTGAAGAAGTTCATCAATGGCTCTGTCTACCTCCGTCAATCCTGCAGTTTTCAAGTGGTCGTGCTTTACTTGCTTACGCGCGATTAATACCAGACGAAGATGCAGAACGCGATGAGTATGAACGAAGTCTAAAGAAACGTGGTCTGACACGTGAACAATGGGCAAATCTGATTTGCTCTCTTAAGACTCTCCGCCTACTACACATCATGGAAACGTCATCGAAAGCTCTGCCTGAGCAATGGTCAAGCGACGAAGTGAAGTGTTGGTTTGAACAAAACAAGCTATCTAACTATCTAATAGATACATTCGCCTTCGTCGATGGAATGGAGCTTGTCATTTACGCTAAAATGATGACCACAGCACTCGTGCGTATCGATTCAGAATACGATCGATTGCGAACTCGAATTCAGGCTCGGTACAATGGGCAAGATCTACTTCAATTAGATGAATATGTTCGACTCGTGAGAGCACTCAAAAAGATTGTCGAACAATCACAACTGTAATGTGAACTGAATCTTGATACTAAATTCTCTCATGTCTTATGAACTTTATTTCGTAAAAGTCTTCATTATGTAACTAAAATACTCTTTCCAACAGTGTCATTGTTCAACGAGCCACTATTTATCCCCCCTTGTTTCCTTAGTGAACTCCTTCAAAGTACAATTCTCTGCTGTTACACTTGTAGAACTCTAATGGCATTTGCAACTGATTTCTTCTATAAAACTTAACATGTTCTTCGCAAAATTTTCCATTGGAGCATTTCGCACACGTCAGCCAATGAACGAAACGTTTATTTATTTCATCCTCGATAGGACAAGATAATTTTTTTGAACTTCTCCTGTTCATCTCATAAGAGACATAGAAGCTGTACTGGAATGAAATTATCTTAAAGGCTTATTATTAGTCTAGAATCACTGTAGTTTCCGAATTATTTTCATGCTTCACTTTTGTTCCCAGATATTTCAAGTAAACAGCCAGGATCAATGTAACGATATTGAGAGCTCATTCACGTGTGCATGGTAAAAAGTTAGTAAATACGAGAGTGCCATAGTTGATATGAGATGAAGATCTAGTTCTAGATGAGAGTGTGGGCAAAGAAAAACCCATATCCACACCCAAAAGAATTTGCTGCTTCGTTAATCTCTGTCGTTTTCGAGAAGAAACATGTTGAAGATCTCTGTAACAATCATTTCTTCGTCAATAACTGGTCTTCCTGTCAGAGAATCGCGACTTAAACACAAAGATACTAGTACATGATTCATAATTCCAACAAAAACAGAATAAAAGAGAACCGTACTGACAATTTCAGACAAGTAAACGTCTCATCATAACTAATACGAGTGTGGTTGTGGGGTAAGTGTTCGGTATGAGTGTGGGTGTGGGGGAATACGGGTTTGAATGTTCCGAAACAAAACCATATCCATACCCACATCCACATCTACATCCGCATCCACATCTACACCCGTTATAGAGTGTCAAGCATCATCGTGTCTTCCCTCTATGATATTGCTCCGAATAAAATGTACAAATCAAGCACTCTTAATAGTATATTTTACTTTGGAACTTTTTTTTTCATGCTTACTAAGGAAGATAGCGAACTGATAAATCGCTTTTAAGTCGAAACTTATGTGCATCGTGTAGGTCGTAGTAAAATATGAATATTCTGAAAAGAGTTCGTGTCAACAGCTTATTGTTGGCGAGATACTGCATTTTTACGGTAATTTTTTATCATGAAGCCATGGTCTCTTCAAAAACATCAGAAATACTGAGTTTCGAATTTCCACTTGAAACTTTCTACAGAGACAGGCCTCGGTGAGAATAGTTTATTGTGAAAGTTTCAGATCTTTTGACTGTTCCTAGTCTTAAATAAGAGGACCGAAATCCGCTGGTGTATATGAGTCATGTAAAAGCATGCTGTGCCGTAGCTATACCTTAGTATAGGAAAAAAAAGTAGGAACGAATTAATATGCGATGTGTGTACGAAATATTTTGTTTCTGTCTTTTAGTCGAGAATAAAATGAGTCACATGGCGTCGCTATCGAAATGTCTCAAAGAGAAAAAGAAAACACAACGATAAAAGAAAGTAAATTGTACTACAGAAAACAAAGATCACAAGCGTTATATACGAGAATTAACTATTTTGTAATGCCAAAATCGTTGAAAATTTGAAATGGACAAAGTATTAATTGAAACTCGATTTTGTTGAGTCAATTTTGCAAGAAATGTATTTAATACAAATATTATTATTTTATATTCTGTTACAAAAAACAAAGCAATACCTTCTTTTTTTTTCCTATCAACGATACTTCACCTTTCTTGCAAAATACGAAAAAACATAAGAGAAACCACGTTTTTTTTCTCACATACCATAACATTAATGTTGTATTTTGTTTTAATAAACGGCAAGAGACCGTAAGAGTATATTCTTGATTTTCGAATAATGTTGCCAAGTATAGACACAAGATCTGATTTGAATTTTTCAGATGTCATCTTCTACATTACGTATAAGCAATCTCGAAGAATTACCTGATGAAATACTTTTATTAATCTGTGGATATTTATCATCTACTGATATTCTCTTCTCTTTCTATGGTCTTAATTTTCGACTTTCTCAAACAATCAGTGGTTTTTGTCGACATGTTGTTCTGGGACAAGTTTCATTTAAGCAATTCAATTATATTTGCAAAGCAATTCTACCGGCTATTGGTACTAATATTTGCTCATTAGTTGTGAGTAATGACTGGAAAGGCGTTCTCTCACAAATATTTCTTAACTACTTCAGTGAAAAAATGTCTTTGGCATTTCCACGTCTAAAGCGTTTGATCCTCACTACATTTCGTATTGGTTCGTTAATGTCGTTTCTTGATTGTCTTCAAAATTTGCCTGAATTATTTGAACTCAAGTTAATTAGTTTGTATGAGATGGGCAAGGAGTCAGCTAACGTGGAAGTATTACTGCACCGAATTTTTACTGCAAATAATAATCGGTTAAGCTCGATTTTCTTTGACGATGATTCATTATCTTTTCCATATGTAAGTAACAATGATATATGTTATTCACACATTGAAAAGTTAACTATTGAATTAAAAACTCTAAATGATCTTTATGAACTTCTTACAGTATTGCCTCGACTAAAATACCTTGATGCGGCTATCAATGATGGATCCTCTAAGTTTCCTGAAGAAATACAAAATATTCTAATCCTTACTTTAAGACAATTTCGTTTACGTTCATTTGTTCATAACTGGAATCTTGATGAACTTGCATTATTTTTAAAACGTATTCCTAATGTTCAGGAGCTCACGATTCAGATTAAAACTGACTATGACACTCGTCTGATCGATGGTCAACAAATATTTTTTCATATATCATCCTTATCTCTGACAAAGTTTAGTTATTTTCTTGAATTTGACTATTCACATTCTTTTGATGATACAAATATTCTTTCTAGTTGGCAACAATTTAATCAAGAATTTATTTGTATTAAAAGTGATGATAATAATACTCTAGTTCTAATTACATTACCTTTCGAGTGTTCTTATTTATTTCTTCGATGTTCAATAGCTAAAAACAAAATCTTTAGCGATATTTATGGTTCTCAAGTTAGATATTTAACTTTATGTGACGTTTCAACACAATTAGCTGAAACATTCTCCATCACGAACAAGTGTCATCGGATACACACTTTCGTTCTAAGAGTTGATGAAACGATTGTCCCAAGTAAGATTTAATGTTTTCTATCAATTAATATAGATTCATATTGTATATAGAATCTGTTCAACAAATTCAACTTTGTAAATTGCCTTATCTTAAATGTTTTGTGGCACTGGAAAAACCTTCAGTCAATGCAGATGATTTTAGAAAACTATGTGAAGCATCACCTAATTTATATCATTTAGCAGTCAATTACGAATTTATTGAACCGATGTTTGACAATAAATCTGTGTGTTATTTTCTAGAACATCGCATTACTCATTTACTGATCAGTGTAACTTCGATTATAAGTCTTGAGCCGGTTACTGTTTCAATATCTCGCCTTGCATCTGTGTTTCCATCATTGAAACATTTATATTTTTACATAGAAATATATAATCAATCTGTGGAATCATTAATTTTATCTATTTTTAATCATTTAAGTAAATGGAATTTTCTAGTATCATTTGGTGTAGCAAATATAACAATGGATTCCAAAATACTGGCAAAAGGTATTCGTGAATGGGTACTTGAAAATTCATTTTTGAATGATAACGACTCATTTCTTACTGATTACAGTGCAGAGACATTTCGTCTTTGGCTTTAAATTATATTTATTTTCTTTTTCAATTTCAATAAAAATGAAACAGTTATCCAAGTAACATATTAAATTCGTTCATGTCTAATCATATATTGATTATTTTACTTCAACTATTTTTATTTCTTAAGATAATCAGAATGAAATGGGTGGTACACTTCACCTTCGATTTTTTTAAAATTTGTTCAATTATTTAATTTTAATAATTCCTTTTTTTTATAGAGAATATCTTCGAGAAGTCATATCATTCCTTTCCAACGAATCAAAGACTTCATCTCTTCCATTCACTGAAAATAAAGAGAGAAAGAAACAATATTTACAGATTCATTAAAATAAAATGTCAACAAATATAATCAATACAGTTGAAACCAAGTGATTATGAAGAATATCTAGGTGAACATCGACAAAAATCGAAAATGATCTGTGACGTCATTCACTTGAATTGCCGAATGATAATATTGATTTTATTTGTATTGATCGACAATATCGTACTATTATTTCAATTATGCCAGAAAAAGAGTTCGAAGACTTTTTTTAAAATAAACAATTAAATGTTCGTCAATAACAAATGCAAGCTTTAAAACAAATATCAAAATAAGATTATGAAATTGATTTAATTGATCAAGAAAGAGGATAATCATTTATTTTTCTTAAAAAATAAATAAACAATTGATGTATCGTGAGGATAGTCTCAGAAAATCCGCTATTAATTATTTAACAATCAATATGATGAAAAGTAGTTGGACTTTAGCTAAAGATGATTTAGATAAAATAGAACCAGATACATTAATACCGCATTTAAGTAAGATTATTTAATGTCTTGTGACTTTAATTGACTAGTTTGTGTTAGTTGAACGTATTCTAATTGAAAGTGTTGATAAAAAAATGAATTATTAGGTGGAAAAAATCGTTATTCAAAATTGTTGATTCATATACGAACAGCAGTTGACGATTCAACATTAAGTATATCCGCGATTCTTCCTATATCATGTCTATCACCTGATATTTATCTTATTATTTGAGTAACAAAATTAAAAAGAAAAAGAAATAATCTGCATTTTATTTGAAACAATTTAGGTTGGAAAAATTTCATAACAAGGTTATTTATCTGATTATGCTGAACTATATATCAAACAAGATATTCATGTAAACAAATGTCTTTTAAATCTTTTAGGAATGAAATTTCAAAAGAAAAAACTATTTTGGTAGTTACAAAATGCTTTTTTTTGGAAAAAAGGGGGCCTACTTTTAATTTAATTATGTTTATGAAACACATTGGGACGAGCCAAAAATGAATTCTGGGTGTTAGGAACCTGTGGGTTTTTCCAGACCTGGCTTCGACTGAGTTCGAATTTTTCTTTTGTTGGTCGAATCCGGATACCAAACACGTTGACTCACAGGCCTCTACCGGACGCCTATTACGACTTTCTGTGCGTTTTCGCACTTTTCAATTTATTTAGTTTTGAACAACATTTTCATAACAGCAGCTTGTCAGAATTTTATAACACATCGCGCGTCTGAAGAAATAGTTTATATAAAAGATGTATCAGTTGTCTAGATAGAAATATGAAAAAAAATTGTTGAGTCTGGCAAAATCTTAGATAATTTTATTCTTATTGAATTTCGATCACTTGGCGGTGTCGGCATCTAGTAAAACGGGTTCTAACAACATCTGAGAGGAACAACTTGTTATTCTTAGGACCTAATAGGAGAGAGTTCAAGATGAGTATGTAGTTCATTTCTTCTTTAAATAGCATTAGTTAATTAACTCTTGTTTAATGAAAAAAAGAACCATGTATTAAAAAATAGGCCCTTTCGAAGAAATTATTGAAAACTGGACATCCGAGAAAGGTCGAAAGAAGTGGTCTTTTGTGGAAAGTCTTTTATGCATGATTCCATTCCTAATTGATAAAAAACTGAGTTTTAGGAAACGAACTCTTCTCTCAAACGAATATTCGAGAATAGTTCTTGTAACCAAATTATATTAAATTCTCTTTCCAGAATCAATAACGATATCATGAACAAGCTATACATATGCTATTTACTTGGACAGCAATTAGTTTACATGATATTTTCCAAGAAATTGTACACGAAACAATTATATCAAACCATTGTAATACATCACTTGCTAATACAGAATTAATTAATTCATCTGTTAAAGCTTCGAGTGTTAGCATGATTTAAATTGTTTAAGGTGAATAATTTATTTAAATTTTTTAACAACAAAAAAGTCATGAATTACGTGTTTTTCGTAATACTTATGGAAATTTTCATCGTTCACGTGATGAAAGTTCAACAAGAAATATTTCAAGAAGAAATGAAGATCGACAAATTTCAACATCATTACCGACAGCAACTGTATCATCAACAAATACAAGTATTTTGACTATATCTGAAGAATTTTTTTAACATGTTAGTGAATTTTGATCGATAAATCGTTGTTTTTTGACAGATAAAATCACTTTCAAATTACGCATATGAAGGACAATTTCAATACAATTCTTCTTTGACCAAGTTTATATGAAGTAGAACGTTAGGCTATTTTTTGAAAGCATTTGACCATACCATAATTTTTTGTGGATACTTAGCCATTGATTAATGTCCTTATATACATCGAGTCACAGCATAAACACGTTCATTTTGACTATTAAATCTAAATGGTAGCAAATACGAAAAACCAATCATTCGTTATTTGCTTAAAAGTCTTAGTTGAATAATTTTAATGTTTAGCATCATGATAAAAAGGATGAACGATTAGAAAACTTTTTTTATATGTATCATTAACTTCGCAAGCAAGGTTATTCTTTTCATCGTCATCATTCTCATTATCAAACAAATGATAAAAATTTTAAACAATCAATTATGGATACTGTTTGAGCACAAGCTAAAAACTTTGTTCAAATTATTTTTTTTTTGTTCTTGATACATTTCTTTCATTATTGGTTCTATCACCCATCATCAATGGACATATAGATATTTATTTTATTCAATAAATATGTTTGAACAAAAGTTTTATTTAGTAAATGTTAATGCAGACATGTTTTGAAACATTAACAAAAATAGTTCAACGTATTCAACACGATCTTCTTGCTGATCTTAATGATACACATAGAAGAAATCGTTTAATTTTAACCTATATTCATTATAAATGAACATTACATACATTGACTGAGACTGATTGTTTTAAATAATTTTTTTTTAATTTTAATTTTTTAATTAAATACATATAGATACGAGAAATGTTTCATCAAAATTAGCTAGTGTTCGTTCAAGTTTACTTTATTTTCAACTCTATGCTGCAAGAAGTCCATCATTATCAGTGGTAGATGAAATGGCACTTGCGACCAATAGTAATCTTATGTCAACAAGTTTATTTCCATTTTACCATATATTTTCTTGAGGGTGGGATGTGGGTGTCATTCCTCTCTTTACTCACATTCTCATCCCCACCCTAAAAATAAAATGAAATTTTCAATTCTATAATTAAGGACAAATATCCATTTATTATATAGATCGAAATGATACAGCAAGCAAATAGTCTGAAAAATTTTCTCTTGATGCTATTACAAGTATTGGTTTGGCAAGTTGTAAAGTACTCAATGATCGAACATATATGGTAAAATAAGTTTGTAAATAAAGAAAATTGTTTTTTATGTATTAAAAGAAATTTTTAAATATATTTGTGTCGATATTACAACAAGTTCGTTTAGTTTAATAAAACTTGTTAGACTTTCACCAGCAATAGTTATTATCAATAAATCAAATGTATGGTGAAAAAAAAATTCTTGTTATATTGTTGCTGTTTTTTTCTTCGCTTTCTAAACATTGAAGTTGAAATAATAGAAATTGTATCTAACGAAGAACAAGGTAAATGGGAAACGATTACTGTTGAACAAGTAAATAAGTCTATTTTTAAAGTTCGATTTAATAAAGAAAAAAAAATAATATCAATTAATTTCGTTTTGGCTACGTAATATGAAAGATAGTTCAAATGTGTGTTCGTTATGCACATAATCAAAGAACGTCAATTTCATTCAAAATGAATGAAAAACATCAAACACTGTTACGTATGAATAATAAAAACCGTCCAGCGATTTATGTTGAAATAACAGCAACGGATTTTGATGATGTCAAAGTTATTTTTTTCGAGATTATAAAATTAGTGATGCATCTTTACTTATTGTAAATTGTTTAGAAAATGATTCTATTGCATTTTGTCAAGATAATGATGTGTAAGTCGTAAATAAATAAAAAGAAAAAAGAATCGTATACTTCTTCTGCAAACATTCCTAACTTTTCCTAACGATGTTTTCCTTACAAAGGTGCTATAAAAACAGATTATATATAGTACAAAGAAAAAACTTCTATCAATCAATGAAAGAACTATCATTCTAACAGAAGATATATGAGAATTAACATTTTATTTTCTATTATTCTTCATTTAACAAAGCTAAACTGACGGAAAAAAGTTCAACTGAACACTTATTTGTTCGACCCATGGTTCAACAATACGAACTTTTTCAATTTTTGCACAATTATCTTTTGTTTGTTGATTATTGTTAGCGATGATAAGTAACAGTGCATTATTAGGAATCACGAGTTCGATCAGATGTGGAAGATGACTTCGACAGAGAAGTTGTTCAGCATAGTCTACATGTATATCATGTAAAATAAGTGCAGCTAAATGAGGAAATACAATAAATTTTGTTGTAGTACTTTTCGTCTCTTCTTGTTCAAGTTGATTAAATACATCTAACGTTTTAAGACGAGGAAGAGCTTGAGCTACATGTTCAAAAAAATTATGTTCGAAAGATTTAATATCATCGAAGAATAATAATCTGGTGACATTTGAAGACGTGTTGTTAACATCGAAGAGAGAAAATCGATTGGAGATAAAATCTAGACGAGTACGAATAAATGGGAGTGAAAAGACTTGACATTGTCTATAATGATTATTAAAATGATCGAGTGTACAGTCGATGAATTGTTGTACGCGTTGTTCGAGAAAACTTTGACGAACTATGTCGATGTCTATTTGAGAAGAGTTTTATAATATTGAACGAATATGAAAAATAAATTGATGTAGATTAGGCATATGTAACATAACATTTCGTTGTAAATCAAATCCATCAATAAAATGATCCAATCCAGATCTACTTGCACCAACAGCCAATGATAATGTCAAATGTTCGACAGTTGATAAACGGGAAAAATGTAGAATAAATCGATCATAATGTAGAATACTGCGATAACATGTTATTGTTAATTGCTTTAAATTTGGACAGGTTGTCTGAATGAAATAAATCAGTTCAAATTTCAGATTACAAATAATTACTTACCGATGTTATATCAGATATATTGTGATCATCGCTTCGAGAAACATGTCCTACCGTCACAAACAACGAGCGCAATTGTTTCCCTAATTGATTGAGTAGCTGAACACAATCTTCGAATCGATGATGTGTGATACGAATGTGAGTAAGATGAGGAGATTCAGAAAATAATAGTCCTTCTTCAGCTGGAAATATTCGAAAAACGCAGTTATCATTCAACTCGAGTGAGACGATTGTACGTATAAGTGATGAACAATTAGTGAATCTCGACACAGGACTAAAAAATTCGTCGTCAAGATCCAAAAATTCTGGAACGAAGGAGAACAGCGGCGAATGACGCACCGGACTGTCATAATAAAAGTCTAAATATATGTAAAAATGAAAGTATAGCGCTTCTATAAAACTCTACATATGTATTATTTCTTGAAAGTTTCGAGTTAAAATACCTTACGCTTATAATCAAACAGACAATCAATCATGTTTCCACATCGCATTCAAATGTACATAACTATCGTACACTAATTGTTAACAGAATGAAATTATAATTAGACTAAAATTTCAACACATACTTTTCTCATCATATCCAGTCAACAAAACCTTATTGCTTTTATAATTTATTTCTGTAATGATTCAATACTCGTGACTGAAATTCTTTTTTTTATTTCCAGACTTAATCTTTTTTTGTTGTTTTATGTAGAGAAGATGATCCTATTTTGGGTTTCTTTCAAATGAAGATGAGATTTTTACAGTTTGATTTTTTAATTTCTACTATCTGATGAGCAAATAAATCAAATCAATTTAAATAAACAGTTTTTAATAAAATAAGAATTTACTTATTTCGAACAGTTATCCTGAGTTGCGATGGAAACGACATAAGATTATTTTCAAATGTGTTAAACTAAATATGATTTCATTACTGTGTCTTCTGAGAATTGTATCAAAGTGTAATAAATGTATCAAATTGAGTCAAAGACATTGAATATTATTGGAAATACAGGGCAGAATATAGAAGTAAAATCGTTTGACATGCCATTTATATGGTGTATGCCAATAATTAGAAGTTAGATTGATTGAATGACATTTTCATAGTGCAAGTTGTTCTAAACGATTATTTTCAATATCAATCATAGAACAAAGTAATAAAACTTGAGGTTTCACTTTGTTGAAAAGAGCTAAGATCATTTCATTAGATAAATCAAATAGTTTAGTCATATCTTCTATGAAAAGAGATAAATAACAGGTGATATTGCTACATAGCTACATACTTGTCCTTGATAAACAATTCGTCATTTATGTAATACATTCAAATAGTGGATAGATGTGTTCATATGTCTCTCTTCCCATATACATATATGTCGTGCCGAAGTTATAACTTCGGCGGTAAATTTTGTCGGGTATTTCAGATCAACTAAATATTAAATAATTATCTAATAATTGATGATATCATCATAAAAATGTATATGTGTCAGTATATTTATAGTTAATTTTACATGTTCACAACGCACGTATGATTTTATTAAAAATAAGTAAACTATTTAAAAATTATTCAAAGAGATGAAAAATTACACTTGATCGATATTTACATATTTATTGCTCAATCCACATCACATTAAGTTCAATATTTGATGAAGGATTTCTGAAGCACTATGGCTTAGATTTAAATCACAATTGGACTTTAACTTCATAGGAAAAAAAGTTCATCAACAATAAATTAAAGGTTTTTAAGATCATGGCTTACCTCAGGTCGAACAAAGACATCTTTCGTAGTATATAATATCTTTTAGCTGTATAAGTAACAGTCATGACCAAGAAGAGCCATCCTACACTCTCGTTTCGTTTTTTCTTTAGTTTTGTCTTGACTTTCACCTTTGAACAAGCACTTATCTTATCTTCATCCTCAGTCTTAATATTTCATATTAAAATAAACACTGAAATCCATAGTAACGTTTCAGAAGATTTCGAAAAATATATTCTAACAACTGTCGACATTTTATACATAAATTTCCTGTAAAACGATGCCTTAGTGCTTCAGAAATCTTGCATCAAGTACTGAACTTAACGTGGTGTGGATTGAACAATAAATATCCCAAGCCGAAAAAGCACGATCGTAAACGTTTGTAAACAACGGAATACGTCTAGAAACGGTCATCATATACGATGGTCGTATACGATGCCATACGTTCAAATACGATCAACGTATTCGTTGAAAATAAATGGTTGCCGTGCACTAGTGTAGTATACGACCGTATATTGTCGTAACTTAGTCGTAAGTTCTCAGATCGAGAAATCAGATAGTAGGATGTGGGTGTGGGTGAGTGTGGGTGTAGGTGTGCATGTGAGTGTGACTGATAGCTTTCTTTACACTCACATCGTATAAGAGCTTTTAGATTTGGCTTTTCGATCATTTTAATCTCAAAACTTTGAAAACAATCACAGAAAATCTTCTCATACTGTTATAAGATGAAACCGACCTGGATAGTCGTTAACGTCGGTATACCTCAGTAAACCAGCGGTTTCTACAGAAAAATGACGACATGGGTTCCCTGCCGTTGACTTTAACCTTTTGGAACAATATTAAGACCAATCAAAAGCATTTACCTTACACATGAAATGACAGATTCTGATTTGCACCAGAGATCCGAAACTCGCCTCGTCGCGAGACGAGGCAAGTACGCGGCCGTACGAAAGTTGGCGAGTTACTCGCCTGCTTACTATACAGTTTTTGCTACATAGATATTATAATAGATTCGAAAAAGATACAAAAATAGATAGTGAGATCAAATAACATGACTATCATGCAAATGGATCTAGCAGGAAGAGAAAAATAGATGATAATTCAGTAAATAATTTGGTATATAGTTCCCATAAAACACATAAACTTTATCAAAAATTCGAGAGATTTTTTCAAGCTTCTAGTGAATACGTACACCCTCATTAGCAAACAATAACAACAACACAAAATATAGAGAACAATTACATACATTTATATCCAACTGAATAGTTTAACACGATAATGTTTTGAGTAAAGAAAGAATATATAAAAAATTTATTTGGATCTATAGTTATGTAATAGTTGTGTATATTTTGTGGGTGTGGGGTGTGAATGTGGGGGAAGTGAGCGGGTGTGGCTGTAGGTGTGTGGAGTGTGGACGAGGATGTGGGAGCTGGATTGAGGCATGGGTGCCTGTCGCGTATAGCTTTTTTAATTCACAGCCACTCACACCCACGCCCTCGATTGTAGTCCAAGTACTTGCTGGAGATTCTCAAGTATTCAAGTTCTTGTTTACGAGAAACTTCACTAGAGAAGTTACCAGTGAAGAGATAAATGACAAGAATTCTTTTTCAATAAGCAAAAAAATACTGTTTTATTGATTATAACGCAATCTTGAATGTACAAACAATCAAATGTATTGTAAAAAGAGTACATAAAAATAAAAACGGTTGAAAGACGAAGCAATACACTCACAGGTAAAACAATACTATAAAAAAAAGACGAACTGCTCTCGATTACAATTATGATGAAAGAACATGATGTTCCATGAATTTGGTCGTTCAACAACTAATCGATTTGTAGCGAAGATGAATGACCTTTGTATGTCTTGTTCAAGACGTGCAAACGTCGCTGGTCTTCACTACGAATCGATCGGAAATGTTTGATATGCACCCGCAAAAGTACTATAAATCCAGAGAGCAATCTCTGTGCTGATATCTCCGATATTACGATATTTTCCTGCACTATTTCAATATCAGACATGTTGAACTGACGCTAATAAGACGTATGATGCCTTGTTTGGATTTACAGGAAATTCATTTGAACTTCCGGGACTTTGTTCTTTTTTCTGTCGATGGAGATATAATTTGTATAGAATATAATGAAGGTATGGGAGATAATGGAGGTATAGGAGATAATGGAGGTACAGGAGGTAATAAAGGTATTTAGGATAATGAAGGTATACTAGATACTGGAGGTATAGTAGGTAATGCAGATAATAGCATATTATGTCTTATGCGAGTTTCCTGGAAGGTAAATGAATTTTCGGAAATTCATTTACTTTCCTGGAAACTCGTGCAATGCATAATATATGATTACCTCCTATATCTCCATTGTGTCCTAGACCTTCATTACCTCCAATACCCTCATACCTTCAATTATCTCCTATACCTCCATGATCTCCTATACTTCCATTATCTCCTATATCTCCATTGCGTCTATTACCCCCTACCCCTCATTTACCTTGCATATCTCTATTAGCTCCATTATCTCCTATACCTTCATAAGTTCCAATAGCTCTATTACCTCCTATACGTTCAATATCTCCTTTAATCTCATTAACTTATATATTTCCATTACCTCTTATATCTCCTATACCTTCATGAGCTCCATTAGCTCCGTTACGTCCGATCCGTTCAATACCTCCTTTAACTCCATTACCTCCTATACTTTCAATACCTCTTACACCTTCATGACTTTCTATACTTCCATTATGTCTATTAGCTCCATTAGCTCCATGACCTCCTATATTTCCAATACCTCTTATACCTCCATTAACTCCTATATCTCCATTACGT